CACATGAAGTTTCTTTGGAACCATATACTGTTCACTATGTAGGATGGTATTTCATGTAACTTTGCTGAATGTTAATATGTAAAATTTACACAAGAATACAGCTATTAAATGATAATGATTGATTGATTTATTTATTAAATTCAGTTGTTATCGCATAAAACTTGTGTCTGAGCACAATTTAAAATATGATGGCTTTTCATTGGTCGGTGTATTTTCTTTCCAATGAAATACATGAGACAAATCGACACTGAACAAACAATATACAAGCGACAATATATTAATGCCACAACACTTTTTAAACAATTGTTTTACATTTATAATGATAGAAAATCATGTATAAGCCTTTAAACACGATTTCAAAATGATTACTTAACGGCACACTGCATTTGTCACCAATCGATAATAGAAGATAAAGTTCGCATTTACTCACGTTCCCCGGCTTGTTTAACAACACACAAACGTTCCTCATAGGATTCCGGAATACTGATTAATCTAGAATTATTCTTGTACTGGAACTTGGCTATAACCCGTCTTTGTTTTGAAACGACATGTATACGAAGCACCTGCAAAAACAAGGAAATTATATCATGTTTACTTGTATTGTTTCTTAACAATAGATAGCACGCACGCACTTTTAAAATCTGGAAAAGGTGAGATTCCTGAAGCAATAAAAACAAGGCAAATATTTGACAAATTTAGACTTAAATACATCTGTTTATGAGAAACAGTATATTGTGCGAGCACCTCAACACTAATGTAATGGAATTATCTCGAATTATCCAAAAAGTGTAGAAAGATATATTAAAAACACTGGGATGAAGTATTTGACAACTTCCACACAAAATTTGTTACCTTCTATGAAGAGTATAACTTTTTGAAAAGGGGTGATGCCTGAACAGTAGTAAAAATAAAGCAACTAATTATTAGACCCGGTTTTTTAATTTATAGTATGGTATACATGCACCTCAACACTTAAACTACTGTTTTAAATCGTCCTGAATTAATAGAAAACTTTATGTAAAAACTGAGATTAAGTATGTGGCGACTTTTTTCAGCTTCCACACAAAATTTGACAACTATTATTAGAATCTGGAAAAAGTGTAGATATCTCGAGAGCAGTGTTAACAATAGTAAAATAGCCGAATATTGCAGGTTCGGTTTGGAGTATAAAACAATTTAGGAGAAGTGGGGATACCATTTACTTGTTGTGTGTAATAGATTCATATATCTAATATTTACATGTAACAAAACATATAGCTTTGACAAATGGTTCAGTATTTTGCTAATCATTAATCAATTCAACAAAAAAGGAAATATTCTAAAACTTAGATCATAAAATCATCATACGAGATAAAACTCATCTAGATTGCTAAAATGAAAAAAAACATAACACAACCATAAGGCAAAAAATGTATATTTTATCACTTTCATTTTACAAAAATTAAAACATGTATTTGATTTGCTGTTAGTTTTTATTTCCGGTGTAATATACAATATAATACAAGTTAAATGTTGATGCTGCACATTAAGGGCGCCTGACGATGTGAACAGTCCCGGGTATGGTACAAAATCAGCTTTAACAATTGTTCTCGATTATAGTTGAATATCCGAAGTACTAATCAATTTTTCTTGGTATGTATTCGTTTTTTAATAAGCTGCATATTTTTGTGAAAAAGTACAACCTAACGCATATATTCACAAAGTTATGTCGTGTCTGAAATTCTGAATAAACCAATCTTTGTCTGTTGCGACAAAGATTAAAAGGTCTGATCAAAACGAAATAAATCGCGTACAAATATACCTATATAGGAATCAAAACATACATATTCATTGGTAATGCTATCTCTATCTTGAATTTATTGATACTATTTTACGACCAAACGAACAGTACACTTATGTTAAGACGCGGAACCAGAATTTTTACTTGATAGATCGCTAAAGTGTGTTTCATAAACAAGACAAATCCAGGGGGTTGGGGCGGTGTTCGTGACCATTTACCACCACCCACTCCATTCTTGATCCGTGCTTGTTGTCATTGCTGTTATGTCTTTTTAATCTTTGAAAAAATTAAGATGTCAATCCTTTCATTTTTAGAAACGTATATTAGCCCGATTGTTTCTATCAATTTATTCCAAAACGGCATGCATCATATTTTTAATTTTCATTTAAAGATTTTTAAGAAATTTAATTGGAATTAAATCGTAATTTATCAATGTCAATAAGATAACAACGGAAAAACATGTCCCCTATCGAAATTATTTCTAACAAATAAACGTACTCCATATCGAGGGTATCATAAACATACAAACAAACAAACTTGCTCTATATCGAGCATATCATAAACACACATAGAGATAAACATGTTCCTATCGAGGGTATCATAAAACATCTAATGGATAAATTTGCTCCATATAGAGGGTATCATAAACATACAAATAAATCAACATGATCCATATTGAATGTAACATTAGCACACAAACAGATATATTTGCTCCATATGGAGGATATAATAAACACACAAATAGCTACATTACTTAGCTTCATGTCGAAGGTTTAACAAACAGACACACCTGTTCCTTGTCAAAGGTATCCTCGGTGATTGTCCCGCAGAATCCTTGGGTCACAATCACGATCTGTGGCAGGTCATTGTTAAAACGTTCGTAAAACTCGGCTACATTGTAATCTTTTTTCTCGTGCACAAATTCCATATCCCTAGTAAATGAAATCGTTGAAGAACTAGACAAGCAATTAGAAAAGTAAAATAAACAGTAAAAATATTTATTCATTTATTGTTCATAGACAACTGTTATTGTGATCTGATAACTCATTTACTTCTCTTCCTGTGTATTGATTTCTTCTACATTTATAGATCTCTAATAATGACCTGACGTGATGTCATATTCTTTATATACTGTTGTACTCAGATACATTCTGACCTGACGTGATGTCATATACTTTATATATATACTGTTGTACATTCTTACTTATCCGGAAGAAGCAAAATTTTCTGTTTTGCTACTGTTGATATTTGTTTAACATCAATGTATCATCTTCACCACTTAAATCATTTACGTTCAATAACTGTAACATCTTATGTTCAATAACTGTAACATCTTATGTTCAATAACTGTAATATCTTATGTTCAATAACTGTAACATCTTATGTTCAATAACTGTAACATCTTATATTCAATAAGTGTAATATCTTATGTTCAATAACTGTAACATCTTATGTTCAATAACTGTAAAATCTTAAGCTCAATTACTCTAAAATTTCAAGTTTAATAACTCTAACAAATCTAAATTTCAACTCTTCTAAATTCTTAAGTTCATTCTAAAAATCCAAAGTTCAATCACTTTAATACGTTTTAATACCTTAAGTATTCAATCACTTCAATCACTGGAACAACTGAATTTAAATCATTTCAACAACTTTTAAATTAGTTAAAATTTTAAGCTAAATCGATTAATTTTATTTTTCATCTTACGTGAAATCACTGTAACATCTAACTTGAAGTAACTCGAACATCTAAAGATAAATCACTCTGTTAAATTAGGTTCAATCAGATTTTATTTTATCACATTAAAATGTATATATAGTAAAGAAGTACATATCTACCTATCTTTCATTGGGATGTGTTTTACTTCCGCTTTAAATCAAACAAATGAGATAATCTCAGGACGAAAACATACCTAGGCCTACATATATGCAAGTCAGGAGGTAAATGCTTTATCTAAAGCTGGATTATGAATAGGTTTTTTGTCCTTTCCATAAAAGGACAAACATGTGTTTTGTTTAATGTTGTAATATGGATAGATGCTTATCACCTGTTGAAAAAACTTTTCAACCAAATGTCAAATACAACATTTATTATTCAATTTTAAAGCAATAGTGTTATAATACCAAAAATTTCAATTTTACGGCAATAGTGTTATAAAAAGTAAAATGTGTGATCAGATGGTTTTTTTTTCATATGATTTCAATTTCCTTATTGTCGCTGGAAAGCAAAATTATATTTTGTGATCAGATGCAATGCTTTAGGTCGGTCCCTTATTCAGTTATTGATATTTTAACAATCTTCAACTATAAGACGCCACACAAAACCAGAAATTTCAAGTTGTAATAAATATATGTATTTTATAAAATAATTTGTACCTATACAGGTTCATTTGGTGTTTTCTGTTTTATTTCAATAGGTTTAAGTTGCATTAATTTAAGTCCAACTTTCAATAATCAATGATTTATTTGACGATGAATTGATTTATCGAATTTTAAACTCAAATAGTTATTAAATGATAAAGAGTGTATTCATTATTTATAGAAATAATATCTCAATTTAGCTTATTCATTAATGATACTCTATGTGGGTATGTATAATCTTAAAACAGCATGCCATCAGATGCATGCTAATTTTCATGATTTTTTTTAAAACCCTTTTAAAAGTAAAATATTGTGAAATGAAAAATAATTTACATATGGCAAACAGCACTTGCAATCCAAGTACCAAAATAAAAGATGTCAGAATAAGCTGTAGGTTTATAGTTTTTAATACTGCAAAATCGATCCTTAATCGTTCATAACATGAAAATAATTATTATTATTGTCATTATTATTATCATTATTATTATTATTATTATTATTATTATTATTATTATTATTATGTAGTAGTAGTAGTAGTAGTAGTAGTAGTAGTAGTAGCAGTAGCAGTAGTAGCAGCAGCAGCAGCAGTTAATTGTAACAATATCGATATATGTTCAATCTTGTATGTTTTGGAACCATGCGACACGACATTCGTAACACAACATTGACAAAAAGGTTTTTATTTATGTAAATTTATTGACCTCATCTAAAGATGGCATCTAAGGTCGTTGATTTCAAACGATTCGAATCCGATTAGGAAATAAATCATCTAGTATCTAAATCTTAATCAGTTTGTATCGTTCTATTGTATTATCAATAAAGGTATTAAACCGTGACTCCATGTACTATTTAAAGTTATCCAAGTTTAGTTATGAGTTAAGGTTTTTTCAAGATCATTTTAATTGCTATTATAGTCCGACCGTTTCGCCCATTTCACAACATCTTTGAAATTTTGATACGATATATTGCCTCTTTATCACCGACTTTCCTGTACCGCAAAATCCTGAGCTCATTGTAACTGACTGGGGTGTTTTATCTACGAAACACTGTTGATACCATTCAACTTCTTGAATTATCGGGCTTATCTTTAAGAATTCACAATTTCAACTTTGTAAACTCGCGATTACAACAATTACAATTCACGAATCATTAATTTTAAGTTCATGAATTTATGAAGTAAAATTCCGAATTCATGAAGTTGAACTGATGCTCGTAAATTCGTGAACTCCGTTAGACGAAATTGGAAATTCATGAAGTTGAAATGTCAATACCGGTATTTTGTATTTATCAGTTTCTGAATGTTTCAATGCTTTGTATTTATACATACCGTATATTTTTTCGGTGCTGGCCTCGTGATTTCTTGTAAAGATCAAACATTCGGTTCATTATTTGACGTAAATGATGTTTATTTCAAATAAAATGCATGATAATTTCATTGCATATTTCAAATTGATGATGTTTTTTTTTACTTTTTCACTGTTATGCTTCTTTTATTAATGAAACAATCTCTTTGAGAAGGATGTGACCTTGTATAGTATCAAAGGTTTTGTGTCTTCCTAAATATATGTCTTTTTGAATACTTTCCCAGTGCTTGGTCAGATATGCATATTATTTACATGTTTTCAAAATGTTTTTCGGTCTGCTATTATTTTAAGAATAATAGTTTTCAATATACGTTTGTCTACACTGTTTCGGAAATAACCATATGGGCAAGAATAACTTGCTGGTCAGGTCGTTGTGAAATTCCTTCTGGTCGTTCTTTATCCGATAATGGTTACTTCTAAGGTATCGTTGTTAAACACGAAATGACTTTTTTGTAAACGCCACCCTCCCGAGTTATTCACGACAGGTCAGCCATCGTAGTTTGTATATATACTAAAAAATTACTGACATTAACTGGATTTTCTCAATTTAATTTATTGCCTACCGGTTTCTATAATCATCAGGTCAAAAAACATAAAACCATAGTTACAACGTCCTTTGACGTTATTTGTGTACACATGTGTACGCAAAGTAAAAAATGTTGAAGTCATCGATTTCTCCGTGTTGTGTATGCCTAACTACTTAAATGATTGTGTGAATGTTTGACGAAATTTCTATTCATGATAAAGAATGTTATCTCAACAATGTATATATTTATCGCTAGAAACCAAAAAATTCCAACAGTTAAGTTTATGTTAAGTAAGTTAAGATCCCCCTTATTCACTACTTCCGCTTTGAAGAGTTTAGATATGCTAGAATTACTGTCAACTGCATTGAAACTGAGGGGCGTGAGTTCAAACCCCAAAATAGTCTTATTTTTGTTTCGTTTTTGTTTCCTTTTCTTATATTTGTAAGTATGTTACAGATCCCTCGTGGACAAAAAAAAATAGTTAAAATTAATTTTCATTATCATTATCATTATTATCATTATTATCATTATTATTATTATTATTATTGGCTTAAAAATGCCAAAATTTAATAACAAATAAAGTACCTGATATATTTCAAAGTCTATTTAAATCATTTTAGATAACAATAATGTTGCAAATATATGCTTTGCCATAGAGATCAGTCATACACTAAAATAACATGATCTTAAACTTGAATAAATGTTTAATATGCAACACATTTTAATAGCAAGGCACACATTTTTGTAGTAATTGTAAGACGTACATCAGATGGCAACTTTATCTAATATCAAATTTAATTATAATTCCTTAACAAATAAACAAAAACATTTGAACTTATCATAATGTTAACAACAGATTTAAATAACATTACATACATTATATTCTTATATATTGGTGATCTACATACCCTTTTCTTAGCAGAAAATTCTTTACATTCTAATAGATAATGAAATTCATCACCAATGCTACCAATACATTTACATAGTGCGCACTTTCGCTGGTGAAGTTCTGTTCTATTCCAGCTTCCTGTTTCTTCTGAAAGTCTATTCGAAATTTATTTACATACCTTAGCAGGTTACACTGTGTATTTACTAAGTATGGTTCGAATTTGAATGTTTTCTTCAATAATAGTTTTTCCATTTACTAGAATTACTAACAATACCACTCATTCAAATATAAGTCAGATTAATTAATATAAGTTCTAAAAAAGTAGGCAAACTTTGAAAATAGCCCCACACTTTGGTAAATTTTAGGGATATTCTGAATAAGACTCTATAGATAGGAAAAATGTTAAACAAGTATTTAAAATGGGTAGGGCAGGGTAACATTTTTGTACATATTTCAAACATTTTCAGGAGAAACAATCGTTTTGCTTGTGTGATTTGTTACCTAAATGCTATTATTTGTTTTTAACAATGATCAATAGGAAAATAATTTTTCATAATAGCAAAGAAATTAAAGATTATTTAGAGTTCCTTTATCCCTGAAAAAGAGCCATTCTAATATCAGAAAACATTTCAATAACTTGTAAACCGTATGATGAACTTTATTTAAATTTTGCATACAGGGCATATAATTGATTTATGTCGTCAATTTTACATTTTCGGACTACTTATGGGGGCATAAATCAATGGTGATTGGCTCTTGATCAATGCATTAATAAAAGACGTACTAAATTACTTTCACACCAGGGTTAAAAGGAATTTAGTTGGTGTTTTAATCAAAGATTTGTTGAAGCATAGTGTTGTTTTTTTCCATTTCTGACGAGGATATATGTCGAAACTAGCATAGTGTGTAGTAAACTTTTCATATTTTAACTAAATAGTCGAAAATAATAAAAGGTAAATCGCGACTTGTCAAAACATCACCTGGTGTATTGAATCATATATTAAATTCATTTTATTATTACAGTAATGGATTTTCTTAATCACTGTCATATTCAAGTTTATTTGTTTATTTTTGTCTCACCCATGTATACTTACATAGTACAAAACATTTAGTATAAACAGCAATAAAATGCATGACCAATCTACCACTGACTATCGTTATGTAACTTGAAAATTGGCTTTATCAACCTTGACAGTTCTATGAAGTTGGTAAGCAGAACCAAATTGAAATGAGTCTGTTCATGAAAATATTTACAAATATAATTTCTTGGAACCCGCTTAAGCAACAACATTGCAAAGTCTCCAAAACTATTGAGTATTTGATCTTGAAAATATAATAAAATCCTTAAAATGCAGTGATGGCGGCAAAATTAAAAATATTGCAGTCTCAGGATAATTGTAATTGCACTTGTTAGTATTTATAACAATTACAATGATGAATCGCACATGGTAAGATACATTTTCAACACAATATCATGCCTATGTGCACAAAATGGGAGCTGTTTCTATTTTGTCAACACACATTATCACTTAAAACATCACTTATTTCGTTTTTGCTGAGCATGTTGATTGTTTCGGCATTGATGTATACGTGTTAGGTATTGCATGCGGGTATTGTGAACCTGAATCATCTAAATGTTTAATGTTTGAAAAATAATTAATTTCCCCTGGTCTATGTTTAGTCATGTCTTGGCATGGATGTGACGTTGATGTCTTTGGTGCTTGTAAACGTGGCTTTTGATATAATTTTGGAACCTGATTTGAAACATTAGTCTCGGGTAGTTTAACATAATGTTTTGTCTTATATGTTCTTAGTTCTTTACATTAAGAAACATCTCTCAGTCTAGATAAGTCTTCTTTTGTCATACAAGGTTCTTCCATTAAAATGCTTTCATCTATTGAGGTCGTAGGTGCCGGTGTATATGGTTTTGTAAATAACTTCGGAATTTGATAAAGATCATTGGTTTCAGGAAAGGTTACATTTGTTTTATTCTTACATGTTTTTGATGGTATGTCAAGAGCAGTTTGCTCTTTCTTTTGATACTTAGAAACACCTTTAGTCTAGTTAACTCTTCTTTCGTCATAACAAGTTCTTCCATAAAAACATTTTCGTCCATAGAAACAAGAAGCTCCCCGTCAATCGCATGATAAATAGAAAAATGAACATATTTATTAAGACCACGTCTTTTCAGACGTGTGAAAATTTCTTCATGTGTACAGTGTGAGAACATGTGTTATTTCTCTCCTGGTTTTTTGAAGTTTTTCCTTAATTGGACATTGATATTTGGATTTTTTGTTACCAAAATGACTATTAACAATCATACTTTATGAGTGCGAAACAAAGATTGACAAAAAGTCAAAAAAGAAGCTAAAACGGGCAGCGAAACGAAAAGCAAGCGGGTCACCTGAAGTGGATATAGATAGCCATTACTTTTGCGCACAGAGCGGAACGAATACACATTAAACTGGACTTTTAAACAGTGGTGAGTACGTACATTCCGTCCTGTTCTTCTTATGGGACAATACAATGATGCATCAAATACATCAGTATTTCAATCACCGGTTCCGTCTACACCGCCAGAATGGGCTCGAATACTTATTGAAGACGTCAGGCAAATAAAAGAGTTTATGCCGAAAATTGAGTCCCTACAACAAGCAATTAATCTTATAAATGTGAGAACAACGACAGTGGAAACCAAAATATAAACTCTTGAGACTAAAAGTGTAGAAGCTAGTGAATCTCTTCAATTTCTTGGAAAAGAGAATGATGATCAAAAGAAGCAGCTGGATAAATAAAAACAACAAGTCAATAAGTTACAAAATAAATGCGAAAATCTGGAATCTACTGTAGAAGAATATAGATTAATTGTATTATAGTTTGGAGACCTTTCTGTTGAAAATGTGTCAGGGTTAAATCGTATACATATACATGCACAGTATTAGTTACCCACACTCCAGAGCATGCCCATTGATTGGCTCATTTTTGCTGGGGTTTACATATTGTGACGGAAGAGAAAGGGAAAGCGACAGAAATATCATATTCAGATGTTCGTTCATTGGTTCATTATTCCCGGGGTTTCATATTGTGACAACAGGGAACGTGTTTTTATATTTGACTGTAATACAAAAAAGAAAGAACACCAAAACACTCGGCAATCTTTTTAATACTCGGGGGCTACGCCCCCTCGTTCAAATCAGATAACCTCGTGTTTCGGTGCTCTTTCTATTACATGAAATCAAATTTCAAGAAATAATTTGGGACCTAGAAATTAGATCCGTGCAGAATAATCTGATGTTTCATGGATTAAATGAACCGTAAACGCCAAAGAATGGAAAGGTCGCTTAACCCGACCAGTGCGAGCATTCATTTAGTCAGAGGATTGATAGCAAACGAACTACATATTGATAACACAGAAATGTTCATTGAACGAATTAATAGACTTGGTGGTGCTAGAGCAAAAAAAAACCCGCCCCATCATAGCTAAATTTCATCACTTAAATAACGTGAACAGATTCGGTTCGAATCCTATGACGAGGAATCCAAAAAACGGCTGAAGGAGAAGAAATATGTAGTTGGAATGTAAACCCCCCAGGCGTACCGGGATGCAAAAAAAGGCGTTCACTGAACATATTGACTCTCAAAAACTTGACAAGAAGGACACAAAAATTGTAGGTAATAAACTATATCAGAACAATAGAATTACTAAGAGATGGTTTGATGGCAAAATACTAGATTATGTTAATTAGGGAGGTCAGAAGGACATTCAAATAATTTCATGGAATATCAATGGTTTGCTAAACAATTTGTGCGATAGAGACTGGAAGGCATAATAATACTCCTAGGAAAGATATAAAATGTCAAAATTGTTCCATGAATCAAATCGAACATGAATACCATCTCATGTTAGTATGCCCGAAATTCTATGATCTACGTAAAAACACATTTGAACCATATTACTACAGGTGGTCAACACTACAAAAATTTGAAAATCTTATGATAAGTAAAAACACGAAAACACTCAATAGTATAGCACGCTTTTTATTTTGTGCGTTTAAAGACCGTCGTTAGAACATTTATTGTATTTTTTAAACTTTTATATTAATCTAACATGCTTTGCATAATTTGTGTTATGCTGTACATTGTTAATGTGTGTTCAATGTCTTATAACAAGTGTATTATTCAAACATGCACATTGCTTTTGTTTGTTATTTAGTCTTATGTAGTGTAACATGTGTCAAGCTAGTCGTAATATTAGCTATAAGCAGATAACATATAGTAACATGGTGAATCACAATAGACCTATCTTGTCAGTCTTTAGTTTTGAAATCTTCAAAAGGCTGACATAAATTGGTCGATTATCTCAAGATATAGTACCAATGTTTCATACCTTAAAATACCTTGACTTTCGAACTGTTTTCATCAAGGTAATATGCTCCAGAATGAATCATATAAATTGTATCAATAAGATCTGTATGGCTTAAAGTTATTAAAGTAATAAATAAAGTAATGTTTATAGTTGCAAATCAATTTTGTACTAGTTTGGCTTATTTTTTGACTGTAAACATGGTATAAGCGGGATGAGAACTTTTGCAATGAAAGGGAAACAACTCTCACAAAAATAACCTATACACACTTGCAGAGTTCTCGCCCCGACAATACATAACAATGATTATGTTATTTACATATAATTACCACATACATATATTATTCTAATATGATTGACATTCGTCATGTAATAAATTTCTCTAAACATATATATATATATTTCTAGGTTAGGAATTCACGTGTCTCACTTTTGCACTTTTTGATCTAGATGGATTATTATTTTGTTGTAACAATTTTAATGTCGAATAAAAGTTATGTTATGTTTTTTTTTGTTTTTTCCCTGAAAAAATTTTTCGTATACCCCTTAATTGCCTTTTCGCTGTCTCCAAAAAGGTCTTCAAAAAACACCCACAGTTTAAAATTTGGGTTTAAAAAGATTGAAATGCCACAAAAAGGGTCCATTTTAAAGGTTTTATAAATTCATCACCTTTTTGGGAATACCTCTTAAAATTTTTTAAAAAATTTTTTATTTGAACAAAATTTTCCCCGTATATAAAAGTATTTTCCCTTTTTATTGGGTTTTTTAGGGCTTTTAAATTTTCTATACCCAATATTTAAATCAGTAAATTCCAAAAAAATTGGTGGGTTTTAAAACACAATCGTATGGAGTTATATTTTCCGATTTCCCAGAACTTTTTGGGGGATAAAAAAACAACTGGTTTTTATAAATTGAAAATGAAAGCATGGCCTCGGGGGTTTCATGCTAATTTTTCCTTTTAAAAAAAAAAGTTAAATGACTGTATTAATAAGTAAAATATTGTTAAGGGAACAGAAAAAGTGATTTTCACATTGGAAATAGCACTTAACATCTACGAAAGTACCAAACATATGCAAAAGGAAGCTTTCACCGCGTTAGTCATGCAGTAGAAATATGGTGATTAATACTGCATGTACCATGTAAATTTTTTCTTGAATAGGTGTTTTCTTTCAACTTTCATATTCAAATCTTAGTACATTTTTCTCAAGATTGATTTTCTTGAAATATGTTGGCTGATCTGTGTTTTGCCGGATACACAAAACTAAATGAGCTTCATAACACGCATATTTCACCATGGCGGTGGTATGTACAGTATCAGATTTAGAGAAATTTATTTTCTACTTTTTTCTTAACATTTAATTCAAACTTAAACATTGGCATTGTATTGTTTTTTCAAATCTTTTCTTTTACATTTCAACAGATTCAATAGATATAAAAATTTAAGTGAACGTCTAAATCTAACGCTCTGTGTCCGAAACAAATAGTTAAAAACAAGTGTAAAACATTATTATCCTGTTATCTGCTTTTAGGTTTATCTAATTCGGCAGGTGACCTTCTTTTGCAAATGTTACAAGTCTAAGTGCCTCAACACCTTTCATATCAAAATCTTCTTTCAGCATGTCTTTGTCCAGTAGAATCAGCATACGACCATCAATCTGTTCAGTCTTAAAAGTAGCAGCATATTGTCCTAGGTTTCAATCTTTTTTAAGATACTCTACAACTTCGTCAATAGTCAGTTTTGCAACATCAGCATGATTTTTAACATCACGGACCTTTTTTACTGACGTCCCTTTAAAGGCAAAGATTTTGCTTTTCAACGTTTTGCAGTTCTGTTGAATTGTAAAGGTGTTATCCGTGATCTAACGGTACATCATTTTGATACATCCGATTGCGCTCTCGCCGAGCTTTTGTTGAAAGTATCTGCAAGACAATCGGGTTATTGCCTGTCCCGTTTTGGGAGAGGTGGTGCGATGATTTGGTCATGATTTAAATGCAAACCGTTTTTTGGTTTTTTGGTGCCCCAAAGGAGGCGGCAGAATTACGTATTTTTTTTGCGCTTGTTTGGTTAAAGCCTCAGCGTGGCAATATTTAATTCTTCGTGCCGATTGCCTCTCTCGTGCTATGTTGTCAATTTCTTCGTAAACGTTCAAACCCTCACGGCGTTGTTGTTCTCGGTTAAAAACTGTAGTGTCAACTGATTTAACTGCTGATTTGTTAACAAGACTTATAAAAGAAGAGTAAGATGTTGGTTCTATATAAGAGTAAGTGGTATCGGTGTGAACTGCCCTCGGGTCATACTCGGCAATATCTGAAATCAACCATGTGTGCATATTTAAACAAAAGTACATCAAGTTCAACATTTCATTATATGTGTGTGTGAAGGGGGAACGAAGATACTACCGGCATCATTTAAACGGCTTCCCGAACTTTGGTCAAACAAAGTTAATTAAGGTTCACAATTTTCATTGTGATGCAATTCATAACATTTTTACTAGAGTAATTATATTTGAATCGAGGACTATGCCATAAAGAAACAAGCAACAATTATTGTATGTAATTTTACAGTTTTCGAAAGCTTCAAAGTTATTACGAACGTCATAAAAAATAACGTTACAGCTTTATCAGTCACAAGTATGTAACTTGTTAGTATAGCAGAAAACAAAACTCTTACTCAGGTTTCCAAATTCGTTATCGAATTCTATAGAAGAAGCAACTCGATCTAATTTACGTCGAAAGGCGTTCCATTTTTCCTCACTTTGACCTTTGAACCCATTTATGACCGCCAGTCTGAGTTGTGACAGATAAAGTGGCATAAGCACAACTTCCTGGTTAATACTACCTTCAATTGTAGAAAACAAAAATGAAATAAAAATGTCGACAAACGGTTTACATTTCCGGACATTTTTGTTAAAATGTGGCAAGAGCACAACGCATTTGTAGGAAATGGATAGCAGATTTCTGCATCGACAATCATTTTGTGATATAAACTTTAAAGGTCAGTATTATCATTTTATCATGCCATTACTATGACAACTGGCTGAATAAAAGAGCCTGTCTGAGAAACCAGCAACCTTTCTCAGTCAGTGACTTGAGAACACTATGTTCCTACGCCAGATTCAAGCACTGATGATGTTTTATTGTTGGTATTGTTTAATTGGACTTTGCTGAATATTTATGATAATACATAGTAAACCACAGTAAATAATTGTGTTAAAAGCAAATTGTACCAAAAATCTGTGTTGTGTTATAAATTATTAGGTAAAAACCCTCGGACTACTTTTTTTTGGCGTATAACCCTCTTGTGGTTACCCGGTACTTTCAGAAATTAGCGCCCCGAATTTAAAAAAAAAAAGATGCAAAATCATAATAGAGGCATGATAAAAAGAATAACAGGTTACTGTCTTTTGAGAAAGGGTTTCTTAGACGAGGTTAGATATGGTCCTGGAAGGGGCGAGGCTTGCCTGTTATTCTCTATGTGTTTGCCCGGTTACTTTTTAAGGATCAATTATAAAGTGTTTAAGATATAATACTGTTTTACCATGTGCTAGTGCCGCGTGACATGTACCTATTTTCCTTTTATGAACACACTTTTTAGCCAGACAGAATATGTTTTCTGTTTTCTTCGGTTTTGAAGTACCCCCTTTTTCTCAAATTATTCATTCAAATGTCGTTAATATCTCAATAGAAAGAAAAACGTCTTTTAAGTTCAAAGTAATCTGTTTTAAGATGTAATTTATCTATGAGAAACTTCAACTCTAACCCATGATGTAAATAATGTGTCAATTTAGCCGTCTAGTGGTATAAAGTACTGTAAATGTAACTTGTAAAATAATATCGAAATGTATAATATACAAACCGTCAGTTATAAAATTGGACAACAGGTAAACCTCATCAAAAGTTTGCACGAGTTCCATGCACGGGATATTATTGGTGCTCACTGTTTGGTTACCCACTGTCATGCTGTGATCCTTCGGAAACTGGACGGTCAGGGGGAGTTTATAGTCCCTCAGAATGGTATACAGTTGTTTGGGTTTTCCATCTGTTATTAAATAAAGTAATAGATATTTTTGGTCATCACATGAAGTTTCTTTGCACCACATACTGTTCACTCTGTAGGATAGTATTTGATGTAAACATTGCTGAATGTTAATATGAAACATTTGCACAAGAATACAGCTATTAAATAATAATGAGATATTTATAAATTTTAGTTGTTATCGCATAAATCGTGTGTCTGAGCACAATCTAAAATCTGATGGCTTTTCATTGGTCGGTGTGTATTTTTTTACGATTTCTGACCAATGAAATACATGAGAGAAATCGACACTGAACAAACAATAAACAACCAACAATATATTAATGCCACAAAGCTTTTTAACCAATTGTTTTACATCTATAATGAAAATAACATATATAAGTCTTTAAACACGTTTTCAAAATGATTTACTTAAGACGGCACACTTTCAAATTTTTCACCAAACGATAATATAAGAAAAAAAGTTCACATTTACTTCACGTTTTCCCGGGTTTTTTAAAAACCCAACTTTCCCCATAGGATTCCGGAAAACTTTATTAATCAAAAATTATTTTTTGTACTGGGAAATTTGGGTATAACCCCTCTTTGTTTGAAAAGACATGTATACGAAACAACCCGCAAAAAAAAGGAAAAAAATATCCATTTTACTTTTATTGGTTTTAAATTAAAAAATAAAAAGAGAACCCCTTTTAAAATTGGAAAAAGGGGAGATTTTTCCCGAGCAATAAAAAAAGGGGAAAAAATTTTGAAAAAATTTGGGCTTAAAAACATCGTTTAAAGAAACATATAAATTCGCCGGGGCCAAACCCCAAAAACCCCAAATGTTTAAAGGGGGTTACCCGAAATATCCAAAAAGTGTAAAAAGAATATTAACAAACTGGAAAGAAGTATTTTACAAACCACACCCAAAAATTGTTTTCCCCCTATGAAGTGTATAACTTTTTTTAAAAAGGGGGGATGCCTGAAACCCCGTAAAATAAAAAAAAAAAGCAACCCAATTAAATTTGGAAAAAGGGTTTTTCCCCGGCCCCCGGCGAGCCAATATTAAAGTAAGGAAAACACTGAGAAAAAAAACCCCAAAAACCCGGAAAACCACCAAAAATTTTAAAAAGAAGCTCAAAAATTTTTTAGCAAACAAATTTTAAACTTTCAAAACGGGCAAACCTTTAATTTTCCAAAGCCCCTTTTTTAAAAAAGCCAAGTTTGCTTTGAGCGCCCAAAGATATTAAAGATGAAATTTAAAATGTTGTTTTTAAAGAATTCTTTTTCAATAAATTAATTTTAAAAGACTTTTGAATTAGGAAATTTTAAAAATGTTTTCCCCCCTGTAGGAAAGTTTTCGTTTGGTTTTAAAAAATTTAAAATAAATGTACATCTGGTTTTGTGCTTTTTTTTTTATTTTTTTTTTTTCCGGTCAAATTTTATTCCCTTTTTGGGAAATTTTGGTAAAGTAAATTTTTTCTGGTGGGGGGGAAAACGATTGGGATAATATATAGAGGGAAAAAATTTAAAAAAACCCATATTTGTCTTTTTTATTCCGAACGAAAAGGCCATTAAAAAGTTAGGTTTTTTTTTTGTAAATTTAAATGAATAAAAATAAGTAATGAACCCTTTAAAAATTAATTTTTCTTAGGGTAAATTTTATAAAAAAAAGCTTTTTATTTCCTTAAAAATGACGGAAATAAACAAATACTTATAATTATATGCCAAAATAAAATCCGGAAAAAAAATCAAAAGACATATTCCTTGAATGATCAAATCCCGGGATCCCTATATGTTTTAATACGATCCCAGCTTTTCTGAAAACTATATTCTTGAACTGGCCAATTCCTGGGGATCCTCTATATATTTTAATTTACGATCCCGGGTTTTTTATCTGAAAACTATATATATCTATGAACTGTCATTTTCCCGGATCCCTATATGTTTTAATACTATCCGGCCTTAATCTGAAAAAACGATCTTCTTAGACTGGTCAATTTCCAGAATCCCTATATGTTTTAATACGATCCGCGGTTTTCCGGCTAATTGATTGACACTTGTGTTTTACTTTAGGATTTGTGGTCTGTCACTCATCATCCAACTACTAAATAACAATATTACAACTTAACTTCGTAATAAAGAGACATCTTTATGAATTCTACCTATCAAACATTTTTTTGGTTCAAGGTCAACAGGCCATATAGTAAATGTGTATAAGACATTAGGGACTTCATTTATATCTGTTTACATGCATCTTCATATAACTCATATTCTCTTTGTTAAACTGAGAGAACTGGAATTCCATAACTTTATATGTCATTTTATTTTGATTTTCGCCTGAAGTCTCTTCCGTAAACCAAGAACTTCATTTTTACATTTAAAACACCCCTGAAAAAAAATTACGAAAAGCGATCGCTACTAGCTTTTTTAAAAGCTAACCTTGTTTAAATTTATAGTATGGTATACATGCACCTCAAAACACTTCAACTACTGTTTTAAATCGTCCTGAATTAATAGAAAACTTTATGTAAAAACTGAGATTAAGTATGTGGCGAACTTTTTTCAGCTTCCACACAAAATTTGACAACCATTATTAGAATCTGGAAAACGTGTAGATATCTCGAGAGCAGTGTTAACAATAGTTTTGAAGGCTCGGTTTGGAGTATAAAACAATTTAGGAGAAGTGGGGATACCATATACTTGTTGTATGTAATAGATTCATATATCTAATATTTACATGTAACAAAACATACAGCTTTGACAAATGGTTCAGTATTTTACTAATCATTCATCAGTTTAACAAAAAAAGGAAATATTCTAAAACTTAGATACGAGATATAAATAATCTAGATTGCTAAAAGGAAAAAAAAACATAACACAATCATAGCCAAAAATTTTTTATTTTATCAATGTCATTTGTAAAAAAAAAAGATTATAATATGTATTTGATTTGCTGTAAGTTTATATTCCCGGTGTAATATACAAAATGAATACAATACAATACAATAAATGCAATACAATACAATACAAGTTTAATGTTGATGCTGCACATCAAAGGCGCCTGACGATGTGAACAGTCACAAAATCAGCTTGAACAATTGTTCTCCATTGCAATTGAATATCCGAAATACTAATCAATATCTGGTATGTATTCGTTGCTTAATAAGTTGCATATTTTTGTGAAAAAGTAGAACCTAACGCATATATTCATAAAGTTATGTCGTGTCTGACATTCTGAATGAACCAATGTTTGTCTGTTGCGACAAAGATTAAAAGGTCTGATCAAAACGAAATATAATCGCGTACAAATATACCTATATAGGAATCAAAAACATACATATGCATTGGTAATGCTATCTCTATCTTGAATTTATTGCTATTACTTATCGATCAAACGAACAGTACATTTATGTCTCTTTTTTAATCTTGTAAAAAGAAAGATGTTCCATTTTAGGAAACGTATATATATTTGCCGATATTCAGTCGATAGAGGTGTGTCAAAGGCAGCTATTTCATTGGCTGCCTCACGATTTCATGAGACGATTAAAACCAATCAAAACGCTCGTTCTGTACGACGTTCGGTATACAGACAATATTTCGCGGACAACCATAGACGACGGTCGAGAAAATTAAACGATTTCCAGAAGAAAGTATAGATAATTTACTTTACAGTGTGATGTTTTCCTTTCTGATTTGATATCTGCTTGCAGAAGAACTGATTTGGCGATAGTTTTTTGCCATGATTTTAGCAAGACACGTACAACAGTTTTTAACCGTGGCGCTGCCCATTTTGTTTCTTATTGTTTTTTACCTCCGCTGTTGAAGAATATAGATTTGTTAAAACGCGATGTCATTGGTAGATATTTTACGCACCTGTTGCTGTATTATCGACGCAAATCGATTCATTTTACCCACGGTTGATTGCATGTTATGTGACATGTTTATCAATCGTGGGTATCCGACGATGAGCATATCATAAACACACATAGAGATAAAAATGTTCCTATCGAGGTATCATAAAACATACTAATAGATTAACTTGCCCCATAATCGAGGGTATCATAAACATACAAATAAATTAACATGATCCATATTAACGGTAACATTAACACACAAACAGATATATTAGCTCTATATGGAGGATATAATAAACACACAAATAGATAAATGAATAAGTTTCATGTCGAAGGTTTAACAAAAAGACACACCTGTTCCCTGTCAAAGGTATCCTCAGTAATTGTCCCGCAGAATCCTTGGGTCACAATCACAATTTGTGGCAGGTCATTGTTAAAACGTTCGTAAAACTCGGCTACATTATAATCTTTTTTTTCGTGCACAAATTCCATATCCCTTGTAAATGAAATCGCTGAAGAACTAGACAAGCAATTAGAAAAGTAAAATAAACAGTAAAAAAATGTTTATTCATTTATTGTTCTAAGACAAATGTTATTGTGATTTGATAACTCATTTACTTATCTTCCTGTGTATTAATTTTTTCTACATTTATTGATCTCATATAATGACCTGCCGTGACGTCATATACTGTTGCATGCAGATACATTCTTACTAATCCAGAAGAATCAACTGTTTTGTTTTACTACTGTTGATATTTGTTTAACATCAATGTATCATCTTCACTAAAATCATTTACGTTCAATAACTGTAACATCTTATGTTCAATAACTGTAACATCTTATGTTCAATAACTCTATCATTTCAAATTTTATAAGTTAAACTCTAACAAATCTTAATTTCAGTCCTTCTAAAATCTTAAGTTTATTCTAAAACAAAGTCTTAAGCTCAATCACTTAAATACGTTTTAATAACTTAAGTATTTAATCACTTCAATCACTATAACAATTGAATTTAACTCATTTTAACAACTTTTAAATTAGTTAACATTTTAAGTTAAATCGATTAATTTTATTTTTCATCTTACGTGAAAATCACTGTAACATCCAACGTGAAGTAACTCGAACATCTAAAGATAAATCACTCTGTTAAATAAAGTTCAATCAGATTTTATTTGATCACATCAAAAAGTATATGCA